TCTTTTAAATATTTCTGCTAACACCCAGGGTAGGAAGTTCCACTTTCTGATATGATATATACTTCTATATTACTTAAATTCAGTATGACAGCTATGCATTAATTTAGGTTTCTTACACCAAGTTCACAGTGTCTATTTGTCAAAAATTCTACTCAACTCCCCCTGAATACCTGCTATGTAGTAAGTGCTGGAGATGGGGCTGCAAAGACAGATAAAACACAATCCCTGCCCCAAGAACCCCATCATTTAGTGACCAAGAAGATCATCATTCAACTTGATCACTCTCACTTGTCACAGAATTGACTCTGAAAAACTGTGGACTCTACTAAACTCAAAATCTTCTGCAATGAGGAAAACCCTAGAAAATTCTGAACTAGTGAGTGGCAGAGACAAGCAAATTAAACCCTGCCTTGCCTCCAAAGAGAGTTCCAAGAGGAGAATACCAAAATCTTTGTAGCAATAATCACCAGTAAAATGAGCCCTTGATTGCCAACGAGGCTTTGATGTTATTATCCACCCACCCACCTCTTAGAACAAGTATTTTTGTAATACTGCCTTTACGATCCTGAATTGAAATTCATACATAGGATAATCTATATATTATATTCTAAAAATTAATATAAAGTCCTGTCATATGAAGGAGAAATAAAAGAAAGTACTTTACAGTCTAATATGTATTTCAATATGAAAACGCTGAAGCATGACTTGACTGTACAAGAAGATGTGATGTCGAACGTTTATTGAGTACATCCAGATTTCAGAGAAGTGCGACAGTCTTCAACTGAATGCATCTTCACCCTTTCACTTTAAATATTCTATTTCAAAGTAGCACTTAAACAGGCACACACAAGATTTCCATGAGCCAAATAACATCAAGTAAAAACTGATACTATTGTGCGTCACTCGTGAATCAGATAAAAATGTGGTGCTGCTGTCAACGACATGATTTTCTGAAGTGACAGACGAGCCTTGGTCAAGTCCTGGAGATTTTGTTCCACTGGTATAATAATAGCATTCCGGGGAAATGTGATGTCTAGGCTCAGGAAATGAAAAGTTTCATTGTGCAAATGTCTGGTAGGACATTTCAAATCTCAGAGGACACTAGAGAGTTCTTTGCCCCACAAGCCAGTCTCACACTAACCCTAAGCCAGTAGGATGCCAGACTTCCCCATGTCCACCCCCTTACTCTTGCAATCCTTGTGACAACCAAAAGCACCCTCACAAGCAAACATCCCCTAAGGACGGTGCCGTCCTGTTTGAGAAATTCTTTTTTGAAGTCACAAGTCTTAGGAGAACTACAGGTCTTTTAGTAGCTCTTTGGGTGTCCACAACAACTACTATATAATGTATCACCCAGCGAGGAGTCAAAGGGTACGCAGCAGGCAAGTAGAGTGAACTGAGAAGGGCTGTTAACTCCAGAAAAGAAACAAATTTGCCCCTTTGACCATTGGCTGATCCTGGGCAATGGGTGAAACTCCAGCTCCAAAGAACACAGTCCTGGGGAGATACACGGTGACAGGAAGAAACCAGGCCAACAAATGAGCAGGACAGAGAGGCCCTGCAAGATATGACAGGGCTTATTTCAATAGCAAAGTGAATTGTAGCTGAAGAAGAGTGACAGTATAGAGGATTCTATACACAAGATAAGGCCCCAGTTGTAGAAGAATCACAATTTCAGGATATTTCACAGAGGAGTGAGCAGAGGGAACAGAAAGTAGTGGTTAAGAACTTGGGCTTGGGGTCCAGAGAAATTTAAATGCAAGCTGTGCCAATTGATCAGAAATGAGAAAGTGGGCTCATTCTTTAACCTCTCTGTGACTCAGTTTCCTCATCTATACAATGGGCACTAGTAATAGCTCCTACATATGGGCTTGTGAAGAGTTGGTGAGATCATAGGATAACATCGGTAGATTCTCAAAAGCAGAGTCCTGTACAGTTTCACTCACTTTTGTATCCTTGAACACTGGACACAGGGCAGCCACAGAATTAAGTCTACCTGTTTTAACTGTTTAAGGGCCCACAGAAGGTAGCTGTTTTCATTGTGATGAATGATAACGAGAGAGGGAACCAATTACTGGAGCTGGGGCAGAAGTGGGGACTTGGTTTTCTTAGTGGAACACATGGTCACAGACAGTGCTGATTTTAAGAAGGGGAAACCAGGCCCTGAAGCAACTGAACCAAGGCTCCTGAAATATCTGAGTGAGGATGCCGCTGGTCTTGGTGCTGGGGCTAGGGAAGCTCCTAGGAAAAAGCCAGATAGCCCCAGTGAAGGTGAAAAGAGACTCAAGCAGCCAGAGACCCACTGAACACTACAAAGCTCCAGCAGGGACCTTCCCTGGGGCCATTCGAGTGGTCCGGTGACACTGAAGCCTGTATCCCCAGGAGGTGAGGAAGGGCTTGCCTTCTCTCTGTAAGAACTGGATACATAGGGCTGGGGATTTGGCTCAGTGGTTCCACCTGCCTTGCAAGTGCAAGGTCCCAAGTTCAATCCCCAGTACCAACAAAACGAAACGAAACAAACAAACCAAAAAACAACTACTGAGAACTGGACACATAGGAGGTAAACAGAGCCAGGCGATGTGACAGGAAAGTAAGTCAGCCCTGGCTCCTTCCCTCCTCCCCAGCCCCACATCATATCACTCTCCCTTCAAGTTCTGAGCTTCAACCCCTGGCCATTTCTTTGTTTCTGAAAAATACCGAGTTTCTCCACCCACATCCCCACTACCCATTCTTTGCTTGGTTACTTTCTGCTTACCCTGCAGGCCTCTGTTCAAATTTCACTTCCTATGAGAGGTCATCCCCAGATGTGGTGATCCTTCCTCGCTTTTGTCCTTATGTATTTGAGCCCTTTCTTTCTTAGCACAATGTTGGTGAAGACGTTTGTTCAGCCTGTCTGTCTCTTCCACTAGACTGCTTCTACTTGAGGGCTGGCAGTGTATCACATCCATGACCCGATGTCCTCTGGGATGCAGCCCAGCTCTTGACGCAGGGTTAGCCATCAGTAGATGTCAGTAGAGAGGAAAGTGGACAGGAAAGGAGAAGGAAAAAGCAGTGTAACTGGGTTTGTAGTAAAAGATAATCAAATCCACAGGCAAGCTCTTTTTTTTTTTCCCCCTATCTTCCACTATTTCTTTCAAACAAGCTCAATTCTTAAGAAAACCAGGCCACCGACATTCCTGACTGAATATTCATTTTGCAGCAATTTCTCACTATATTTCCAGGCCCAGCTCACAGAGAAGATTTATGTTGTCTTGTTCTCTCAGGCATGAGTGGCTGTGGCAGCAAATACTTTGGTTTATTTCTCCTTCCTCTCTGCCATCCACCGGGATGCCATGAACCATGTCAAGCACTGGTCTGAGTACTTTTTCCATCTGTTTGATCTTTCTCGTGAGAAAATATGTTTGGCTCTAAATCCACGGCAGAAGTGAAAACCAAAAATAAAAATAAAATAAAAATCTTACCCTACTGTGTCCTTCCTACTACTACCTCCACCATGATGACAAGCAAGATACCTGAGGAACATCTCTGGTTCATGACTAATGGAAAGCTCACATTCTTTAGTTGTTTTTTTTGTTGTTGTTGTTTTTGTTTGTTTGTTTGTTTTGTACCAGGGATCGAACTTGGGTCCTTATGCTTGCAAGGCAGGTGTTGGAACCACTGAGCTAAATCCCTGCCCCCCACCCCTTTAAACTAAGTCCTGCTATATTATAGCTCAGGCTGGCCTCAAATTTGCATTCCTTTCAAATGCTGGTATTATAGATGTGTAAAACCATGCCTGGCTTTCTTCAAGGCAGAGAACCCTGGCCCTAGCAGTGCCCCACCTCCACCCCCAGGCCCTTCGCACTAAGCTACATTTCCAACTGTTTTTGGAGACCAAGTCTTGCTAAGTGACAAAGTCACCCAAGCAGGCTCAAAGTTGTGATTCTCCTGCCTCAGTCTCTTGGAATGCTGGGATCGCTCTCAGTTCCAGATCTTCTTAAAGGCTCAAAAATGGAACTGGAGCTAATATGAATTTACTGGGTTTTTTTGTTTGTTTTTTGTTTTTTGTTTTGGTACTGGGGATTGAACTCGGGATCTTGTGCTTGTGAGGCAGGCAGTGACAGCGCTGAGCTAAATCTCCAGCCCTGAATTTAATTTTAATAGGTGATGATCACTGGCAAGCATTAAGCCCTTACTCTGAGCCAATTAGATGTTAAGTTTTTAAGTACTTTGCACACATGGTCCTATCTAATCCTCCCAACAGCTCTGTGAAACAGATAATATTATTGTCTCTATTTTCCAAATGAAGACTGAGGACTAGCAAAGTTAAGTAACCTCAGACTTTCACCACCATTGAGAGGTAGCAGAAAGGAAAGGGTCACCCCCAGGTCTCTGCCCCACAACCTGATCTCTAAGTCCCACCCTTTGTTGCATGAATAATGGCTACTTAGAGCATATTTTGATGGTTAACTGACTAAAGTTATGCAGTAACAATAGCATCAACACCAGAGAGAATACTCACAGCTAGGTACTTAATGGTTGCTAGCTGCTCTTATTATTACTGCTATATTATGATCCCTGATTTAGAAATATCACCTCGAAGGGACAGAGAGGCCACCTCAGTAAAGATTCTTCTCTGTTCTGGCCCCTGTCCAGGGTCTCATCATACACGCGGCTGCCTTTGGGACGTAGGCATTTATCCACTGCAATGGCTACAGCCCAGTGGCTCAGTCCTCCCCAGGTCAAGGATGCACCATCACATGGCCTCCAACAAGCACTTGAGTGGGATTTGAAATGTGGCCGGGAAGGTGACAAACCTCAGCTTCTATTACGAGTTCCTAGAACTAGGCGGTTTCCCCACGTAGAGGCTGCTATGATTCATGCAGAGTGAGAGCTGAGTGACAAGTTAAAGTCTTTCTTTTTTTAAATATGTCGACCTGAAGGGACCTTGGAAAAAATGGATGGAGCTTTTTCTTCTTCTTCTTCTCCTCTTTTTTCTTCCTCTTCCTCTACTTCTTCATAATATTCTTTCTTTTGTGGATCAAAATTCATGCTGAATAATGGGTTCTGGATTGCAAATGTGGATTTTTTTTTGCATCTTCTATAAGTCTTTGTCTACAAGATAAACAAAAACAAGCACAGTAGGATGTATTTGACATTTTGAAACAGCAAAAATTATTTTAGAAACTCTGGAGCTATTTCAAATAGAGGGGGAAAAATATATACAAACACAAAGCCCATGACACATATAATCTGCTCCCTATCTTCTTTAAAATGTCAATTCTTTAATATAAAGGAGTTGGCTATCCAGGTAGAAGGTCACTCAGGAATGGCAGATATAGGGTCAGTAGTTCATGGACAGAGGAAGCAATTCATAGTCACGGGCAGCTCTGGAGGCATCGGTTTAAATCCTACTCTACCACTTATGAGCTGTGTGACATGGAGCAAGTTTATTAGCTGCTCTTAATCAATATGATGTAGTCATATCCATTTCTACTGGGTACATTTTTCATAGAGGTCTTAAAATCATGTTCTACAGGTGAACAGAGGAAATACAGTCTTTAACAGCCTTATATCTGGAAGCAGACTTCAGATCAAATCCCAAATCTCTTAATCTCCTTTGATTTTAGACATGACGTGTCCTTGTGCATCTACTTCTCAGATGGTGTAAATAATATGCTTAATGTAGAACCTCCCACAAGGATTTATCCTTCCCTTCCTGGAGCCCAGGGCAGAAGACACCGTTAGTTTTCTACCCAGTTGAAATTCTACATAACTTTTTTGGTCTTAAAAACAGAAATCCAGTTTAGTTCACTTTCCTTTAAGTAACTCATGTCCTTCATTTTGGGGATCAGGAGGACTGGCCCCTAACAGGATTAATTCTGTCTCACTTAAATCAGCTTTTGAGGTCCTGATTTACCTGCCAGGGAAGTGGTTTAAGCAGGAGCATGTGGTTAATGGGCTGGGAAGAAAATCTGTTGCACAGCATCTTAGAAGCTTTTTTCAAAAAGGGAAATGAGACAGGTATATTTTCCTTTCTATCTCTGAATGTTATCCTCAGCATGTGGTACATGGGAGATGTCAGACATCTTCAGACCATAAAGAGAGCCATTCTATTATTGTTAGAGTGACAGACTGAGGATGCCAGGGCAGAAAACAAAGGAATCTGCATTCTTGAAGATGCCTTTAGGCCAGTGTATTAATCAGCTTTCTGTTACTGTAACAAAATGCCCAAGATAATCGACTTGAAAAGAAGTCTATTTCGGCTCCCAATTTGGGGGTTTCAGTCCATGATCAGGTGGCACCACTGCTTTTGGGCCTTGTAGTGAGGTGATACATTATGACAGGGAGTACTAAGTGGACCAAAGTGCTCACATCATTGTGGCTGAAAAGAAGAGGAAGAGGAACAATAGGCCAGAATCCCATAATCCCTCTGGAAGACACACCCCAGTGATCTAACTTCCTCTAACTAAACCCTACCTTGTAAAAATTCCATCACCTTGCAGTAGCACTAGGGACTGAGGGTGAAGCTTTAACAATAGGCCTTTGGGGGACACTCCAGATCTAAATGATAATAGCTGGTGAATGAACCAAGTTGGCAAATGTCCTATATTTTGGCCTTTTGTTAAATAAAATAGTAAATCTCCTCATTTTTTTAGCCACTTCTAGGCAGATGTTTTGTTACTTGTAGCCAAAACTGCTCTCATAGTGGCTATCAGCTTTGCTTGAAAATATTTGCATTTTCTCCTTCTGGGCATATGGTAGGATTACACTTCTCCACTCCTTTGAAGTAAGGTGCAAAAATTTGGCTTGCTTGGCCAATGAAATGTGAGTGGAAGCAGTGCGTCATTTCCAGGCAAAAGCTTGTATGTGCCAGTATGCTTTTCACATCCTCCTCCCTGCCTGAGCCATCAGAAAGGATGGATAGAGCCTTTTTCAACTTGGATTCCTCAGGGTCTATGATAAATAAGGTCCTTGCAGCCAGTATTACACATGTAGCATGAGTAAGAAATGAACTTGATGTAGTTAGGCATGGTGATGCACACCTGTAATCCCAGCACTCAAGAGACTGAGACAGGAGGATCACCACAAGTTTGAGCCAGCCTGGACTATATAGTGAGTTCAAGGCTAGCCTAAACTACATGGTGAGACCCTGCCTCAAAACTAAAATCAACTTGATTGTGTTAGATAAATGAGATATAGAGGTTGTTACTGCAGCAAAACCTAGCTTCTACTGACTAATATACAACTTAACTAGTGTATTCAAGTGATGTAACTGAGACTCTGACAGAGAAAAAGATGGATGGAAAAAAAATTCCACATTTGCAACCCAAAACCCATTGTTCAGTATGAATTTTAATCCATGAAAAAAAGAATATTATGAAGAAGAGGAAGAGAAAGA